CAGCACCCAATAGAGGATGTGAAAAAAGTTAATACTAATGTGATTTATTTTGTAGATTAGAGATATTTATGATGGTGGGGATTATCTGGTTTTGGTCACCATTGATCGGCAAAGTGCATTTTATAGGGTTCTTGCCTCTATTCCATTCATAGGTCAGGTTGGTTTGGTAGAATCTACTGGACCCTCTGTTGAACAAGTGGGGATTATCTTTATCTTCTACATGTGTTTTGGTAGAATCTGTTGGACCCTCTGTTGGAAAGCTTAATAATGTTCTTAATTCTTTTATTTAATATGTGAAACTATCTTCTATTAAATGGTTTGCAGTAATTTGAATTTTTTTAGAGGTTTAACTTGAAAATGGTAAATATTTGGTGCATGGAAAAACTATTTCTAACTGTCAGGTGGTTTTTTTGCTACTTTTTTTTTTAATTCAAAATATTCATATTTATTATTGAATTTTCTCTATATAGCCTATTTATAGGCTGCTGCATTCCAATATTTATAGTCTACTGTATTCCAATATTTATCATCTGCTGCATTCTACTATTTATTGTCTGCTGCATTTACAAAATCTATTGTCTGCTGCATTTTTAAAATCTATTGTCTGCTGCAAACCAATAAAACTATTAGTTTGCCTATTCTATTGTCAAATGCCACATTCCTATCATATATTTCCAATGCGTTGGAAATTTACATTCATCTGCTGATTTCAAATTCTGCAAACTTTTATTTTCCCAATTCTTCTTCATAATCTATCCAATAAATGTTTGTCATTTAAAGGGTCTCTTCTATATGCATATATAACGTTATACCAGTCACTTTTTTTGGTATCACAAAAAGCATACAAATCCTAATGGTTAAGAGGTTCAATTTTATCAAGATCTTAATCTTTCTAAAGAGGGGTGGAGGATAAAAGTTAGAGTAATTAGGCTTTGGAGGCAGAAGCATTTTCAGCAGCCAAGACTAGGTGATAATATTGAACTGCTTCTTTTAGATGAATTGGTAAGTATTTTGTGTTTTGAATTTAGGTTTTCATTAGGTATTCTAAAGTTTGGTTTTTAATATTCTCTTACTTCTAGCACTTCTACATGTTTTATTTAGGGGGGAGGATTCAAGCAACTCTTAGGGCTTCTTTGCGTTTTAAGGATGCTTTTATTGAAGGAGAAGTTTATACAATTCAAATTTTGGTGTTTCTTTGAATGAAGATCCTTTTAAGCCAACCACCCATGCATACAAGATTGTTTTAACCCTAGGATTTCTCAGAGATTGGTTAATGATTCCAACATTCCTTATTATGCATTTTTCTTTCATTGAGTTTGATAAGATTTCGAACCAAACTGAAGAAAATGCATTTTTAGTTGGTAAATTTATTATAGAATATTTTTGTTATATTTTTATTTGTTTTAATTTATTCAATTGCATTGTTGGTTTAATTTGGCTTCTACATTAAGCGATTTGCTCCTTTGCAAATGTTATTGGGTTGTTATTAGTGGCACTTGAGCAAAAGGAAGTGACAAAAAATGGTTATCCATTGAATATAATTTCATCTGAACTTGATGATCTAAGGTATTTTTTAATTTATTAGTTTCCCATTATATTTCTTTCAATTTATTTATTTTTCTTCCTTTTTTCAAATAGTGATAATATGATCATGTGATTATATTCAGCTTCAGTGGAAAGGAATGTGAATTTCTTGCAACGCAGGTAGGCTTCTTTTTTCATCTGTGAACCTGTTTTTTAAAATATGTTTTTTATATGGGTTATAAGGCAAATGAGGAAGTTAGTTATCTCTCTAACTGCCTAATAATTGTTTTCAATTTTAAGTTGTGTGGCTTCTTACCTGTTTGGCATTATGCCATATGGATATGTGTTATTCTTGTTTATTTTGGTTTTTTTCCATTTTATACACTTCAAGTACCTAGTCCTCATCCTTCTTTTGAAAAAATTGTAGATGTCAAAATTGGATTTGAATGATTATGATGAGAAAACAAACATTGAAATCATCTTTTGGAATGCCATGGGCATGCTTTCAGATGACGATAAGAAGCTACCTCAGGCAAGTTCTATTCTTCATGCTGGCATGTATTTGTCGGTGCATGTGTCTTCTTTTCTATCCAAGTCAACATGCAAATGCTTGTGAATTTTTAAGTATGCACATGCATGTAAAATGCATGTTGTATAGAATTTTTTATTATTTTTTTTATTTTTGTACAAAGAGCAGTGATTAAGTCACTGTAATCTCATCTTCTGGCACAAGGCCTACAAACTCCTATCATATCTTTCTTCAAAATTTCTCAAACTTGATCTGGTGGTTCCTCATGTAAAATGCATGTTGCATAGAATTTATAATGTATGGCATTATTTAGAGTATTTCTTCTTGCTGAATTGTAATTCTGATTGATATTGAAACCATGATGAAATTTGCTGGCGATTCTTGATTCAGTTGTGGTTTACTGCTTTATGTGTAGTTCTGAAGTATTATATAGATTTGCAAATTGAAGCTACTTTCAGTTTATGCCAAATAGGTTGTGACACGTGGATTTTGTTTTGCCTATTTTGTTTTATTCTTTCAGGTATCTAATATGCTACCACTCTTGAAACGTGGAATAGGCGTGCATCACTCCGGCTTGCTTCCCATTCTAAAAGAAGTAATAGAGATATTATTTCAAGAAGGTCTGATCAAGGTTAGGATAACAAACTCAATTTGATACTTCATATTTTTCGGTTATTCATATTTCCAAATTTCAAAGATTAGGTGTTGGCCTATACAATTCAAGATGTAGTTTTTAAGTCACACTTGAAGAATCTAATAGAATTTGGACAAATACCTGGCTTAGCAGGTTCATATTTGGTTAGTTAATTACCCCATGTTATTAATTGGGATCCTACTCTTACTGTGCAGGGTTGGGTATTGGCTTATACAATTCAAGATGTAGTTTTTAAGTCACACTTGAAGAATCTAATAGAATTTGGACAAATACCTGGCTTAGCAAGTTCATATT